AGTCTAGCTTGTATGATTGTCATAATGATCTATCGACTAGCCAGGCATTGGCTTATATAATGCACCAGAGGCCTAAGATAACAAGAGTACTAGCCAAATATGTTGGTGGAGAGGAGTCCTTGTCTTGATCACCAAGTCTTGTGGAATACTCCTTGTATGCGGCATGGGCTGCCCGAAGTGGCCCGTGAGTGAACCACCATGGGGGTCCTCGGCTCGATCCACCTGGTCGGGAGACAATGTGGTGAGTACCCCCTAGTCCAGGACACTGTCACCCCCCTCCACAGTTACACACCTCGATCATATCGCCGTAGTGCTTAGGCAAAACCCTGCGTCATTAACATCATCATCACCGTCGCCACGCCGTCGTGCTGACGGAACTCACCCTCGCCCTCAACTGGATCAAGAGCACGAGGGACGTCATCGAGATGAACGTGTGCTGAACGCGGAGGTGACGTACGTTCAGTACTTGGATCGGTTGGATTGCGAAGAAGTTCGATCACGAGGGTACGTGGATACACTCTCCCCTCTCGTTGTTATGCATCTCCTAGATAAATCTTGCATGATCATAGGAAACTTTTTGAAATTACTGCGTTCCCCAACAGGGCAACCGTGGATTCGGCTAGCCATGGAAAGTGAAAGTAATGGTGGAAAAAGGAATAAACTTTATTTTCTGTTTGGGAACTGCCTATGATTTATCTAACATGGAAATTGTTGGGATATCTAAATTGTTTTCGTTGGTGGGAAAAGTATGCCTCTCAAAAATATTTTTATCTCTCAATTTAAGCTTTGAGCTCTGACACCTCTACAAATCCCTAATTCCCTCCGCGAAGGGCCTTTCTTTTACTTATGAAATTTTTATTTTGAATTTGAATCTCCATCTTCTCTTATAAAGCACCAACTAAGGGGCACTATGATTGTATTTGAGCATTGGGTGTAGCTAATATTCGAGTGTGTTTCATGAATGGATCAATGATTGAGCATAATGGGCTAGGGATAACTTGCTTTAGTGTTGATATTTTGAAAGACATGGTTGCTTGTTGATATGCTTGAGTATTAAAGTCTTCATGCCAAAACTAGACTATTGCTTGGAATCATATAAAAGTCCAAATGTACATGCTATAAATAAAAGAAATGTGATGAACATGTTAGGCAGCATTCCACATCAAAAATTATGTTTTTATCATTTACCTACTCGAGGAAGAGCAGGAATTAAGCTTGGGGATGCTGATATGTCTCCAACGTATCTGTAATTTTTCATTGTTCCATGCTGTTATATTATCATTCTTGGATGTTTTTACAATCATTTTATAGTCATTTTATATCATTTTTTGGTACTAACCTATTGACATAATGCCCAGTGAAAGTTGTTGTTTTCTGCATGTTTTTTACATCGCAGGAAATCAATATCAAACAGAGTCCAAACGCAGTGAAACTTCTTGAGGATTTTTTTTGGGCCAGAAGACATCCAGTGGGCCAGGAAGCACCTGGGGGCTGCTCGAGGGGAGCAGCACCCACCAGGGCGCGCCAGGAGGCCCAGGCGCGCCCTGGTGGGTGCTGCCCACCTCGGGTGCCCCCTGAACCGCCTCTTTACTCTATAAATAGCACAATATTCCAGAAACCCTAGAGGAGTCGATGAAAATAAATTCCAGCTGCCGCAGAGTCCAGAACCACCATATCCAATCTATACACCGTCATGGAGGGGTTCACCACTTCCATTGGTGCCTCTCCTATGATGCGTGAGTAGTTCTTTGTGGACCTACGGGTCTGTAGTTAGTAGCTAGATGGCTTCCTCTCTCTCTCTCTCTCTCTCTCTTGATTATCAATACAATGGTCTCTTGGAGATCCATATGATGTAAGCCTTTTTGCAATGTGTTTGTTGGGATCTGATGAACTTTGAGTTTATGATCAGATCTATGTTTTTATCCATGAAAGTTAATTGAGTCTTCTTCGATCTCTTATATGCATGATTTCTTGTAGCCTCGTATTTCTTCTCCGATATTTGGGTTTTGTTTGGCCAACTTGATCTATTTATCTTGCAATTGGAAAAAGTGCTTTGTGATGGGTTCGATCTTACGGTGCTTGATCCCAGTGACAGAAGGGGAAACGACACGTATGTATCGTTGCTATTAAGGATAACAAGATGGCGTCTATGTCTACATAAATAGATCTTGTCTATATCACGTCATCGTTCTTATTGCATTACTCTGTTTCTTCATGAACTTAATACACTAGATGCATGTTGGATAGCGGTCGATGTGCGGAGTAATAGTAGTAGATGCAGGCATGAGTCGTTCTACTAATCTTGGAAGTGATGCCTATATGATGATCATTGCCTGGATATCGTCATGATTATTTGAAGTTCTATCAATTGCCCAACTGTAATTATTTTCCCAAGGTTTGCTATTTTTCTCGAGAGAAGCCACTGGTGAAACCTACGGCCCCCGGGTCTCTTTTCATCATATTTATCTTTGCGATCTCTTTTTCTTTGCATTTATTTTCAGATCTATTAAACCAAAAATACAAAAATACATGCTGCAATTTATTTGTTCCGCGATCTATTTATCCTATCTACCACTTTTTACTCACGTTATTTGCCTATCTTGAGGCATCGTACCCCAAAGGGATTGACAACCCCTTTAACACGTCGGATTGTGAGTATTTGTTATTTGTGTGTAGGTGTTGTTTACGTGGTGTGAGGAGGTTCTCCTACTGCTTCGATAACCTTGGTCTCATCACTGAGGGAAATACCTACCGTCGCTATACTGCATCATCCCTTCCTCTTTGGGGAAATACCGACGTAGTTCTAGCAGACATCAAGGGTCACCAAGGATGTAAGGAGGCAAAGCAGCAGCAAGTCCCGTCGTCTTGGAGTGTTGAGGCTGAAACGCGTGGTTGTAGCGTTGGCCACACTCCTAAGCATAGTGCCCAGGGCCACGTCAGAGTTGGCATTGGACACGGGTGTCACCGCGGTCACCACCACCATAGTTGCCACCGTAGTCACCCTGCTGGCGATTGTCGCCGCGATCACCGCGGTTGCCACCGCAGTTGTTGTTGTAGTCACCGCGATCGCCTTGATTACCGCAGCCCTTGCCACGATAGTTACCTTTGCCATCGTGAGGGTTGTTGTTGTTGTTGCCGGACTTGTCACGGGCAACGTAGTTGACGGAAGATCCGCCTGCTTGGAGATGAAGAGCGCAACATGATACTCGCCATGACGCTCAAAGGAGGGAGCGTGAGAGTAGAGCTCCCCAAGGGTCATCTCATCAATCCGAGTCGTAACCGCGGTGATGAGGGGCTCATAGTCGCTCTCGAGCCCAGTGATGACGGCGGTGATGATGTCGTCGTCCCGCATGGGGCGACCGGCAGCAGCTAGCTGATCAGCGTAGGAGCGAATTTTGGCAAAGTAGTCCACCATGGAGAGATTGCCCTTGCGGAAACTGGTCATGTCAAGCTTGATCTGGACGACACTAGCGCGGCAATGGGCAGAATACTTCTCCTCAAGATGTGCCCAGATTGCGCGAGAGGTATCAAAACGAATGACTTGCTGGAGCACGTCATTGGTGACAGAGGCAAGCAGGTAGTTAAGAACGATCTGGTCCTGCCGGTACCAGACCGCATATTCGGGGTTGGCCGCTCGCTCCCCCTTGCCATCGGGTGGAAGCAGCCGACAAGGGGTGGGAGTGGTGCCATCGACATAGCCTGTAACATTGGCGATGCAAAGAGGAGGAAGAATTTGAGCCTTCCAGAGGAGGTAGTTGGAGGTGGTGAGTTTGGCCGTGATAAGGCTAGCGGAAGGAGGAGACACAGAGAAGGTGGATGGCGCCGAGAAGAACGCCGGCAGGGAAAGCATGGTCATGGCAGAGGAGGCCATGGCGCCGGCGGAAGGAGAACCCATCGAGCAATTATGCGAGATGGCCTGATGCCATGTAAAACTTGAGAAAAGAAAGATTGGATCTGTACAACCCAAAAGGTGGCCTCCGGTCGTTTATATACTTGCGCTCTAGGGCACAACTGGCAAGCCGGATATACAAGATAGATACAAGATTGTTGCAGGAGATAAGGATTACAGGAGATAAGAGATACTAACAAACTCTTGTACAACATCTACATGTTTAACACCTTTGTGAAGCGTGACAAACTCTTGCAAAAAAAACTGAACTAGACAAATTTGTTATGCTTGCTAAAAAAAGTTGCCATCCACGATTTTTTTGTCATCCACGACTACACAAATTACCATCAAAATCATTCGACTTGAAATGCCCTCCCAGCAAACGTTCGCTGGTTATGAAAATCCGAAAAATGAAAAATCTTGATGCAGACGAGAATCTTCAATTCTCGAATAAACCCATACCAGCAATCTCTATCGATTCGCGCTACAGGTACAACCCCCTAACAGCGAACTTATTCCTGCTGCCAATCATCCATTGCACCCTAGCACATCTTACATCTTTCTGTCTGTTCAGATAATCCCGGAAACGAACTGAAACGTCAACCCCGACGAGGGAGCCGAGGAAAATCCATCGGAAGCAGCAAACCAATAACCGCCTTCCCATATTCTATTCCCCGCACCCGGCCGGCCGACCTCCGTTTCACCTTTACCGCCGCGGCCGCGCTGTCCAGCGGCCCACACGCGTCACCCGTCGAACGCCACGCCACCCCATCCCACCCGCACCCGAGCGCCCGCCTGCACGCCCAAAACGTGTGCGCCCGCGCGCGCGCAGCTGAAATAAACCCCAGCCCACCACCGGATCCCCCGTTCCGGTCCCGGCAGAGCCGAGCCCGGGTGCGCCCGTCGCCGATCTTTATAAAGAAGAATTCCGTTCCCACGCGCAACGAACCAAACCAAACAGCCACACGGCGCCGCCCAGCCAGCCACCCCGTCCACGAGCACACGCAACGCCACCCCCGACCCGCGCTAGTTAATTGGCGCAGCGCCGCGCACTTGGCACCTGGGTGTCGTGTCGTCGCCGCAGGGAAGAGAGTCAGAGAGACCAGAGGCCATGGACTTCTACTACCAGCAGGCAGGGCCGCCGGCGAGGAGGCCGTGGGCCAAGGAGGAGGACAAGGCGTTCGAGGCCGCGCTGGTGATGCTCCCGGACCACGCGCCCGACCGGTGGGAGCGCGTCGCGGCGCGGCTCCCGGGGCGCACCCCACAGGAGGCCTGGGAGCACTACCAGGCGCTCGTCGCCGACGTCGACCTCATCGAGCGCGGCGCGGTGGACACGCCCGACTGCTGGGACGACGACGACGACGGCCGCGCTACCGTGGCCAGCCGCGGCCGCCCCGCCGGCAAGCCCCGCGGCGAGGAGCGCCGGCGCGGCATACCCTGGTCCGAGGAAGAGCACAAGTACGTGTACCCAAAAGCCCTTCTCTTTTGTTCAGTCATCAATCAACGTAGCCGTTCGTGGTGGTTCGAGATTCTTCCGGCCATCTTTTCCGCATTGCTTTGTTCATTCAAGCGGAGAAGCCAGCGAGCTCCTCCCAGGCCCCAGCTGGCGCGTGGGCCCGACCTGCCAGCGACCCAACAGCAGCCGGCTTGACTCTTCTTCCTTGTTGGATTGCGTGTGTGTGTGCGCAGGCTGTTCCTTGACGGGCTGGAGAAGTACGGGCGTGGGGACTGGAGGAACATCTCGCGGTTCGCGGTGCGGAGCCGGACGCCGACGCAGGTGGCCAGCCACGCGCAGAAGTACTTCATCCGCCAGGCCAACGCCGCCACGCGCGACTCCAAGCGCAAGAGCATCCACGACATCACCACCCCTTGACCGACGGCGACCCACTCCCTTGTTAAATCGCCGCTGCTACCACAATCTTATCCTAGTTACATGATGACGTGTACATTATATCCTACTACCACTAGTACTTAGACTTAGCCTTAAGAAGACTCTGACGAACAACTTGGCTCGGACGGTGGCTGTGGTTCCCGGCCAGCAAATGGTTTAGTGTCTACTAGCTAGATTTCACTATGAGGGTGGAACAACTAATGGAGTTTGACGTGGCAAAAGAAGTCCGTGTCGATGCAGATGCAGGCGTCGCTGTTTCTATGGATTATGATTCTGTGTCATGCTGTCAGGGCTGGGCTGGATAATCTTGTACAGTGATGTGTTCCGGTCCATGAGATGAATGACATGTGTTGCCGGTGATGGACGCGCGCGCATCTGCGGCATGTGTTTCGTCGTCGGCGAACTCCTCTGTGTCAAAAACGGCAGGTTTTATCGGGCACGTGTGTAACTGGTGCGCGACACTTGCCAGTGTCCAACCTTTCAGGGATTCTTCTTGTCTCCAACGCACCGCCGTACAGCGGTCACGCCTCAAAACAAAAGAAACCCCACCGCTTCCGCGGCTCCTCCGTCGTCGATTGTCTCCATGTCATTCAGATGATCTGTGGAGCGTGGACTGCATCACATGGACAATATTGTTTTTTTGCTCTTCCACAAGAAATGCTTACAATATTTTCTCGGTGATAACATCGATGATCCACAAATCAGACCACGGTGGAACTTCAGAGATCAATCGACCCCCCATACTGCAACGAATACTCCAACTACGGTAGTGATCCCATTATGTATTATTTTTGGACAAAAGAGTAGTAGACCTGCTTCAAAAATGAAAAGTAGTAGACCTGCTTCAAACTCAGCCCCAGTGAACTGTACAAGTGTATAAAGATATATACAGAAAAGACACGTAAATAAAAATTTCTTTTGGAACTCGGTCCCAGCAAACTGTATAAGCATATATACACACGAAACAGTAGTACAGAAGTAAATCAAAATTCAGAGGATGTTACAAGATCGAATAAATAGACATCAGAGTACCATAGCAAGAAAAGAAATTCTCAGAAGAAATGTTTAGAATGTTTTCTGGGCGATAAACTGATAATCCACACATTAGTGATGGATCCCCCATACAGCAACAAATACAATTGTATAATAAGCATATAAATACGCACAGAACAGTACTTCCTCCATTTTTATTCAGTTCGCGTATTAGCTTTCGTCAAAGTCAAGCTTTGTAAATTTTGACAAAGTTCATAAACAAAAATATTAACATATACAATTAAAAAATCAATACAATTAAATGCATTATTGAATGTATTTTCACAACATATAGATTTGTTATGGTAAATGTTTCTTTATATAAACTTAGTCAGACTTTACAAAGTTTGATTTCAATATGCAAGTAAATAAAAACGGTGGGAGTATTACGCAAGTAAAATATCTCTGGAAGATAGTAGGCCTGGATGAACTTGGTCCCAGTGAACTGTATAAGCGTATATACAAACGAAAAAGTGGTACAGAAGTAAATCAAAATCGAGCCAGAGACGATGTTACAAGATCGGATAAATAGACATAAGAGTACGATATAGCAACAAAAGAAAAAGAAATTCTACATGCGCTTCCGCGAACTATCTAAATTCTCTTCAGAATCCAAGAAAACATGACCAGGGTGTTCAGAATCAAAGAAAACAGATCATGATGACAGCGCAAATGCTGAAGTCCATCAGCATAGCTTCAGACGCCTTCTGTAGCAGCATCCCGAGCTCCAGCATCAGCCCTAAGCCATCAGAACCAAGGCTGATGCCGGCCTGTCTGCCCCTCGCATTGGGGTCCCTGTTCTCCATCAGCAATGACATGACGATGGTTACGTTCGTTATGATGAGGAACAGGAGCGGCCTCGTGCAAACCAATACTCTGGTGATGGTGCCACCGACGTCCAGCCCCCAGTTAGAAACAACCACAATGAAGGCGATGAGAATGGATGCTAAGCAGCGGTTGAGCTCTGTGGCTGAGATGGCTTGGGTGATCTCCTGCGGCGTGAAATCCACGAGTTGCTTCAGAGTTTCCAGAGACCAAGATGAGTAGTCTGCTTGGTTAGGCTGGCTTGGGGGCGCGGATCTGGGTCTCGTGTCCATGTCCCTCGGAGGCACGGATTTGGGTCTCATTTCCATGTCCCTCTTAGGCTGCACACTTGCTGCTCCATAATCATAAGTCCTCTTGTTGAGGGTTTCATCATCACGGCTCCGCAGCAATGGTGGCTCATATACTGGCTGGATCTCAGAAGCTGCACTGCTTGCGTTGAATTTGTGGAGTAGGTCACCTTCGCTACTGTGGCTTTTATGCTTGGGTTGTAGACGGGGCTCAGCAACCGGTGAATCTGCAAGATGGCAACTACTTTGATCACATAGTGTTTAAGAAGCCATAGGGTATGCTTTAACATTTACGCAGATTTGTATGCAACAAGGCAAAGAGCATTCAAATGGTTCAACTGGCATCAACTAATAAGGTATGAAACGCAAGGAGTCCGTAAGCAATTAATCCTGTGCTCATTGCGAGGCTACAAGGGACAGACAGGGAGAATTATGGACCAGAAAGCAATCTAGTGGGTCGAAGACGACATTGTGATAGATGTAAGACAGGAAGACCCAAAGAGTTGCTCATAAAACAAGCAAAACATAGGAAAGGGCAGTTTGATAACTGATTAATGATTATTTGATTACGCTGCAACATAGAGGAATCTCTTAATCGCAACTCTTCTAAGAAGAGTCATAGAGACGTGCTCAATGAGCTGATGCAACGATGCACAATACTTCCTGGTCTGGGGAGAAGGTTCTCATGAGATGGCTTAAGGTGAATTTTGCAAGTCTATTCCCTGAAAGACCCATCAGTACTTCAGGTAGAAGCCCCTGACGAATGGTTTGGCCATGTACCAACACAAATTAGCGTCCTATCAGGCAGGGAAAAAATCTGAAGAAGAACAAGGCTATGCATCCAACATAATCTCCGCTTCCAACACTCTCCAAATTAAGAAATTCTCATGACGCGTGATCTAGAAACCTAAGATTCCGCGGTAGGAAACCTGCAATCCATGACTTGTACCTGGCACCAGAGATTCTAAATCCAACAACTAATCGAATAGCCCTACAACGCATAAACCGGGAAAAATCCACCGAAACTGAATTCCGTGGTCAATTCCTAAACACAGTTACAATCTAGCCCAATCAATCTGGCGTCAAGGCAACAGGTAGGCGATCTGGATATACCCCAAAGCTAGAAATCGGACCCCTGCGGCGGTGGTTACCTGGGTAGGGGTCGGGGTCGGGGGGGAGGTCGCGCGTCTGGCCGGTGATGAAGGCCAGGCGATCTGATCCCCTCTCGACCAGCCGCCGGCGCCGCGTGTTTGCCCTCGGGGCGCCCTCCATCGCCTCCCTCCCTCGTCGCGCGTGCGTGCACGCGCAGGCCACTACTTTCTCTCCCAGACTGCTCCACCCCCTCGCCTCTCCTTTCTTTTCCGAATTCCAAATTCTTCGATATACTCTTCTCCTGGCTGGAAAAAAAACTGAAACCGGCCCACTTTAGCCCATAGCCATCCGGCCCCAGTACAGGCCTAGCCCAGACTGTTCGTTGCGCGAATCGTAAAGCACAGAGCACGTGATCGTCCACACGTCCAAACCACCGAATGTCTCTTCTCGTAGACTGTAGCCAATTTACTTGTCTGGACGCTTCCACAGACAGCGACCGATCACGTTTTAAAAAATGCATTTCACATCCGGATATCTTAAATTAAAAAACTTAAAAACATATTATTTGATGCAACACAACAATCTTCGAGCGGAGCTTCATCCAGTTTCGCTCCCCGCCGTCTGGCTCCGCCGTCGCCATGTCAGGCGGCCTGCTGCGCGTCCTCGGAGTTTTTGTCCGATCGTCGGCAAGGTAGAATAGGGCTGGACACGAGCCGGCTCACGAGACTCAAGGCGTCGCCATCTCTCATGCCCTACTCTTTCTCGTCGGAGCCCGAAATGCGAAAGGTGCCGGTGGACGTCAAATCGATGACGGATCCGTCCTAGGACAAGCCGTCGACGTCCACCACGATGCGGTTGCGGCGTTCGGACTGATACGCCATACTGGGAGCCGAAGAATGTGACTCGGTGCCTGCCCGACGTGCCATGTTCTTGTCGGACGAGGCCCATGGTGCGTCCCAATGCTCAACGCGCTAAAGGAGAGGGTTCTGTGTCCGCCACCGCGTTCGGACGCCAGACGGACCGCCCCGCCTTCGGCGAGGCAGCTACGGCTGGCCTAGCGTCGGATCCATGCGCCATTTGGGCGGACGTAATGGATTCCCGACGGAAGGAGCCCGAGCACTGTCGTGCACGGACCTCCTTCCGAGCGCGATGGAGCACAAGTCGGACGACCATCTCCTCCTCGGGGGCCGCGAGGGATGAGCTCGGAGTCGATGGATCTGAAGGTGAAGAACTCGGATCCATTGCCCGCCATGTCGGAGACGAGTTTGGATGGTGGAAGGGAGTGCAGTGAAGTGGCTAGGGTTTGGTCCGGCGAGCGAATGGAGAGGAATATGTGTGGGGTCTGGTGGGCCAGGTGGGTCGGGTCTGATGTAGCGGGCATGCCCAGTCACGCCCAGGCGCGCCATATCCGCCCCATATTTGGGCTGGATATGAGGGGTGCCGGTCAGCCTGGGCCGTTTGAGGCGTTCGTCTGGATCAAAATTTTGCAACCCGGCAGTGACCGGGCGGCTCGCCCGGGTATACGAGGCGGGTTTGGGACGCCCGGGTGTAGATGCTCTTATTGGTGGCCAATTCGTTTCCTTGAAGCCGAAGTTCTAAAAAAACATAAATTCTTAAAAAAATACTGGTGGCCAATTCTTCTCTGCATTTCCCGTACAGGTGCAGCCCTGACGTCGGTGTGCATATCACGCCACCTCTTCCTTTTGTTTCTCCCAGTTCGCTCGCGCATAAATCTCGAATTAAAAGATTCTGGCGGGGCGTAAAGGCCGTCACATGCCGCGGGTGCAGTGCACCAGCTATATATGGTTCATTGACTTATCTCTGTGCCTCATTAAAACTGGCCATACGACGCATTTTCGCCTGATTAGTGGTGCTCGAGTCGTGCCTGCCAAGCGAGCCCGTGCCCATTTATGCGCCTGTACGCCTCAACTGGCCCGAGTTATATGGCCGGTTCCCTGTCGCGGTTTAGACTTCAGATGGACGCCGGATCGGGGTGCGGCCCTGCAGATAATCCATCCAGAGCTTTGCTTCAACTACGGATGTTTTAGCGAACCAACCTTTGGTTGGATGTTGGTTGGATGGTTAGAGGAACTGTGATGGAAGGAGATGTTTTCATCGACGACGAAGCACGGTGACTTCATAAATTTTAAGATGATACACGATCTTTACAGATAAGGCTGAGGTGCGGTTGTTTCAATTGGTGATTAGATGAGGCGGCCCCACCATGAAAATCAGGGGGACAGATTAGTGAGGGAAGAAGGGTATGTCCATATCTTCCTATAAAAGCAATCGGTACGTTTAGCATTTTTGGTCCATCAACGGATCACCACTTGCGCAAAGTCCAATCACACAGATAAACAGAGAATGGGAGAAGACACATATTCAAAAGAAGAAGAGAATGGGAGAAAAGATGTTCATACAGGACTGCAATTATAAGTTTGCACGTCTTTTTTTCTTTTTTGCGGTGAATAGGGAGTTTTGTTCAATAATTATGGGTTACATTAAGAGGCAATACCTGAAAGCGGATTTGTAGCATCTGGGTGCTCCACACCCATATACGAACTTTAAATTCAAAAAGAATTCCGAGAATTTTGAAAAAAGAACCTTGGGATTCTGGGATATCAAACCTGGGTTCCTGATCTACTCCCGTATGAAATTTCATGAAAAATATCAAGAAACATATTCGTTGCAAGAAAGACAAAAAGTTCCTATGTATAAAAAAAAATGTTTGGGCGGATTTTTGTTTGGATAGTATTTTCTTCGCCACGGATGCTTTTCCTGGTATTTTTTCATGAAACTTCACAAGGGAGTAGATTGAGAACCCAGGTTTGGTATCCCCAATTTTCAGTTTCTTTTTTGATTTTTTTTGGCATTTTTACGTTTAATATTCGTATAGAGGTGTGGAGCACTCAGGAGTTTCTGTGTATTTTTCGGCAATACCTGCTCTATACAAGGAGGTACTTGACCAAGGCACACATTAGTGGCTCATTCATCACGACTGTGTAAAGCTGAACGATCTGCTACCCTATTTTGTTCTCGCCTAAACTTATGAGGGATAAACTCCCGAATGAGCATGTATGACTTGATCTCTGCAACTAACTGTCCATACGTTGACTGATTAGTCTAGAATTGAAGAGGCTTTTTTTTGCGGAAACACTTGTATTACTCAAATAATAATGTCTTTACAATCATCAAGGAAAATACCCAAGACTTCATCTGGCCCCGATCCCAGCCAAGTCATAGTCCGCCCCTCCACTCGAGCAAACCTAGCCAAACTATCACTAGCTTTATTCTAAACTCTCGCAACATGAGTAACACAAGTTTGTCTAAGACGCATCAAAAGTCTTATTTCATTCACCAAGGCAGCATAGATTGACCGATTATAGTACCCTCTGAATGTTGGAGTGCAAAGCCCATCCCCTGCATCAACGCATACATCTCAGCATTCAAAGCGTCATAACAGTTGAAGATAAATCTCTAAGCTGCAAACACCATGGTGACATCATGCTGACGGAGGATCATTCCTCGCTACGCAACACCATCAACCAGTGAGTTTCTGCATCAACAGTCCAGACAAATTCTGCTCATCAAATTTTATTTTACTTTCTAAACAACAAGGGAAGGATACATGTTCGAATTTACTGGGGTGCTGAGGTGCACCAAGGCACTAGCATATCCCGTACGGATGGTCTCCTTTTGATGCGACGAAATACACATCTGTTAACGAGTCTATGGAGGTACATGGGACTTGACACCTTGTTAACTTCAATTTCAACTTCTAGGAAGAGCTTAAAATTCTTGATTTTTCTCTTTTGCCAATTTTTAGGGTCCTAAAATGTTCTTAGTTGCTTTTGATGCGTCTAAAAGTATAAAGTATATTTCCTCTATTTCATATTTTTCTAAAATGAATGAAGTGTATTTTTCAGACATAAAATGTTGTAGAGTTTATATGTCTCTAGGTTCAAAAAGATTACTATTTCATTTGTAAAAGTTGCATTATGTTATACTTTTTTCCTAGGGAAATATATTACACTTGTTAAAGCTATGTGCATTGCAATGTTTTTGACCCCATTCCTTTTTATGGTATCGGGATAAAGCCACTCTATGAATTCTATCTAATATAGTCATTCATTGTTCATATATTGATACACACCTCCCTTGGTCTTAGCAGTCATATGGGGTGACCAACCCATTATACATAGTTGTGCTATCTAGGAGTGTCCATATTTATATGAGACATGCTTGTATGAAACATGCGCATCTTAAACTAATAATAGGGTGAATAACTAAGAATGCATATAATTTATTTTATTAGATTATTACACAATTGTTTCATACATAGTTGTGCATAGTTGCATGTTCAGAGAAATAGCCTAGTGAGGATCGCCTATTTGATTATATAGGATACACCATGCCAAGAGAAAAGAGCCTGATGCAAATATATAGGTCAATAAAAAGAGGCTGTATTTTTTATTTTGTTTTGCAGAATTGGTATCTTCTCAGTGTTTTTGACATTGTTATTTACTGGCCAAGTTGCATATCTTCTTTTTCTTTGCGGGGAAAGTTCCCCAGCATTAAATCTACTGATGTATAATTCTTTGGCAAACATTTTTAGACCTATAGTTTGGCATGATTATTTAAAATGTACAACTACATTGTCAAGCATTCGAAAAAAAACTTTTAGTGCAATCAATCTCACTAATGTAGATGCTCTCCATCAGTGAGTGATGCTCCATCCAGCCTCCACAACCTTCAGCTTGAAGGGGATTGACCGGAGCATCAATGGCGGCTGTTCTCGTATTAGGCTGGTTGTAATGGGTAGTATCATAAGTTAGCATCATGCATATGATACTAGTCTATGATACTACCTTCCTAATGCATAGTATCATATGATAGTATCATATATGACTTTATCTATTACCATGCATGACACATACTAGTGAGCATTTATTATGATACAGTATCATGATATGATGCTCAACCCTCTCTTACTTCATTTAATTCTATGTCACCTCATCAAAGTTGTCTAGTTGGCATGCATGATACTATGATACTCCCATTACAACCAGCCTTAAAGAAAACCACCACCACCATCCTCCTCCTCATTATATAACGAAGCTAGGGGAGAGGCGCATGACAAATAGTCGTACCCAGCAATAGTTATACGCAACCACGCAGAGAGCTCCAATCCACCAGCACGTCGTCGATCGTACTGCTCCCTGCCTCCCCGCCGCATACCCTTCGGCGAGCTAAGTCCAAGGTAACGCCCGCATCGTGCCGGCTCGTGCGATGTGTCCCCCACGCCGCGCTCAATATATATATGGCAGCTCCTGTAGAGCTATCCATTTCTGTGTGTTGTGAGCTCGAGACACCAATGTCATCGTCCCCATCGTGCAGCTGCGTGCAGTGAGAGGGACGACGAGCGGTGCCGGTGGTCGAGGATGAGCAGGAACGGCGGCAAGGTGTCGAAGCTGGAGAGCCTGCGGCTGAGCCTGTCGCGGGCGCGGGGCGGCGGCGGCGGGCAGTCGTCGACGACGACCACGGCGCGGCCGGGCGGCGGCGGGGGCGTGAACGGCGCCATCAGCACGTCGCCGCGGCGGCTGTCCTCGTCTTCGTCGTCCACCGCGTCGCCGCCGAGCTCGTGCGTGTCGTCGGAGGGCAGCCCGGACGCGGCGGCCGGGGCGCCCATGGTCCTGGCGGGCTGCCCGCGGTGCATGATGTACGTGATGCTGTCGCGGGAGGACCCGCGGTGCCCCCGCTGCCACAGCGCCGTGCTGCTCGACTTCAACGACGACCAGCAGCGCCGCCCGCGCCAGCGCCGGTGAAACCGCCGCCGATCTCAGTTCGTTCCTTCAAGTCGTCTCGTAGCATCGCCATTCGTGATCGAGTTAATTTTGTTGACTTCTGGGAGACGAAAGAGAGATGCCTAGTTTGTTGGCTCGCAAGCCGATCAAAAGAAATTATTTCATAGACCTGTTCTTCCATGCTGCGTGCACTGTCGGCGGATGGAGTTGGGTCTAGGTAATAATTTCGTGTGGTTAGCGCGTCTTTTGCAATTTAAGTATTTGATGGTCTGCTCAGAATTACTGCGCCACAGTGCAAATATTTAATCTTCTCTGTCATGAACATTTGAATGGAAGTAATGCTCCTGTCCCTTGTCCTGCCATATCAGCACAAATATGTTTTTCTTTTTTGCGAATGATATCGGCATAAATATGCTGAAGCAATGCGGGGTGATTGGCCAAATGTATAGAAGATGAACATTGTGCATTGAGTTGTAGTGGTTCACTGGTTTCTTTGAATGAATTGGTTCGTCATTAAAAGGGTTTTCCACAATATCCTGTTTGCAGGGTTTAAAACCCCGGTACCTTCCTTGAGGTATATAAACCCTACGAAATTTACCTTCAAGCCCGCAAACATTGCATTTTTTTAAGCCAAGAAAATATGATGTTCAATGCAAACTGTCAACAAAAGAGCATCAAATTGAGGTCATCTTACATCCATAATTAGGTTTCATGACAAAAGACCACCACGCATTAAGAGTTGAGACTAAGAGCAACTCTAGCAGATTCCCTAAACCCAACACCCTCTAAGAAATTATCAAAAATAGAGAAAACTCACTCTAACAAATTCCCTAAGTTGCCATGTATCCCAAAAGCTTTCCTAAATGCTACAGAACCGACGTTCAGATTTTTAGGGAGTTCCGAGCCAATGCCCTCAGGCACGTCGGATCCCGCACACGAATCCTAAAGCCTTTGCTCTCACATACCCCTCCGAGCGAACTAAGAGCCGGCGGCACTAAATGGTTCACTTAGTATGACGACGTGAGTGAACGCGTTCGGGATGGTAATTTCCGCCATGAACACAACACGGCACGAACCCTCCGGTACATGTGTGCCACAGGTCATCGGATCATCGTGGCCAGGTCTATGCTCGGACCCGGGGAAGGCTTCGGCGACGGCAAAACAAAATAATGAACCTGGTTCAACCTCGCTCCATCACAAACATATGCATGGTGCAAATCGGAATTTACATTTTGCAAAGAAAACGCAAACCGTGTAGGGATTTTTCAATTGTTGCCATATAGGAGTACAAAACATAGTGCCAAAAAACTTACTACTCCCTCCGTTTCAGTTTACAAGTCCTATGCGTATACCTAGGTTTTCAATTTTATTGCACTAATATAAACTATATAACCCAAAAATTATAACGTTTGAAAATAGAACATCTGAAGTTTATATTGATATATTTTTTGTAATATATAACTTATATTAGGTTGGTCAAATTGACGACTTATGGGTACGCGCACGCCTTATAAACTGTGAGAGAGGGAGTAGCAGATCTCTTGAAATCCACCATAATATGTTCTTTCTCGAACCCCTGTCACACTCATAAGCCTCTAATTGCTCCACGCCTCAGTCTTGCACATGCATGCCAAACTTCCAATGCAAGTGGAACCCCTTGTTACTACGAGTACATCCCCCCTAGCCCCCTGGCCCTAAGAACACGATTAAACTACGGGCCACGTTGGCAACACCATCACCGTTCTGAGCTGTCCCCCACGTTTGGGCCGTGAAACCGTCCGGTGACACCGACGGACGGTGATCGGTGAAGGACGGCGCGGCGAGGAGAGAAGAAAAATGCCGCCGGGTGGCTAGATAGAGTTCATTGAAAGGGGAGGGGAAGGGCGATCAATTCCTCCATTAAGCCGTATGAATGCCCGAGTAATTGGAGACAGTTGTGAGCATGAGGTGGTGTCAGGCGGCAGGGCGGGCGATTAAACCAGAGCCCGCGCGCCAACCTTTCCGCTTCAATGCAATGCTCGGCCACGTCTCGGAGAAGAAGGAGCAGCGGCAGCGGCGTCCCTGCTCTGCTCTGCTCTGTTGTGATCGCCATGCCATGCAAGCTGCAGCAATACAATACGCGGAGTTAAGTCCGTGTCCTCTGCCTACCACTTTGCCAACTGGAGTACGTATTCAGTGCCGGCAGAGCTGCTTATACCAAGCGTACGTACCGGGCTACCGGCGCTATCGATCGACCCGTGTGATTGTGATGGCCTACATACTCCCTCCATTTCTTTTTAGTCCGCATATAAGGTTTGATCAAAGTCAATTTTTTTTAACTTTAATTAAGTTTATAAAAAAAATATCGAGATTCATAATATGAAATCAATATTGTTAGATGCATCATGAGATTAATTTTCATACCATATAGCTTTAGTATTGTAGATGTTGATATTTTTTCTATAAAGTTGATCAAACTTTATAAAATTTAATTTTGACCAAATCTTATATGCAAACTAAAAAGGAACAGAGGGAGTACATGTCACTTCAAAGCAAGTAGTAGCAAGTGAGCAAGCAGTGAGCAAATTGGTTACCAATACCACGGCAATTAAGATAAAAACAATAATGTACTAGTACTACTGAGTATCGGTTCACTTTGCCAGCTACCTGAAAATGAACAATCAAGTGCTCCCTCCGTTCACAAAAACGGAGTATAAGATGTTTTGAATATTTCAATATAGACTGCATACAAACTAAAAATAAGTGAACAAACACACCAATATGGATCGGAGGGAGTAGAACATCTTATATTTGTGAACGAAGGAAGTAGTAGTAGTAGTAAGTACTCCGTGTACACAGCACGGCACGGCACGGCATCCTGGTTGTCAGTGGAGTGCACTGAGTGACTGAATCACGGACAGCTCTTGCTTAGATCCTCCTCCTAAACTGTCTGCTGTTAACCTCACCACCACAATTAAAGGGTTGAATGCCGCATAGTGCCCAGAGGAAACTATCAAGGGCTCATGAATCGCGGTTGTTGCGTGGCCAGGGTTACAGATCAGGCTGGTGACCTGTGGCGGCCATCTGGCTGTGTAAATGCCGAGGTGGTGGTCAGGTCAGCGTGCCGCCTTAGTTAGATGCTAACAACAGAGGCAAAACTGTTGCTGGTGGCTGCCGCGCAGGAGTACAATTCCATGGAGGATGCTTGCTTTGCTTGGAAAGCCAGCGACTACTCCCAGCCACAACACGCGGGGCTAGCACAGATTGTACACTAGATTTTGTTTTTTATACACAAACAAAACATTCAGTTCTCAAACCCAAGAAATATTGATGCAAGAGCATGCGAGATGAAATAACTGCGTACAAAACATTCAGCTCTCAGACCCAGGAAAAATTGATGCAGAAGCAAAGCTGCTGCCTGATGATCCAATGCTGGCTCTATGTTGCCAACTCGTTAACCTGCAAGATGAACAATGTCTTCACCTCATTCAAACAGGAAAAATGCTCAAACCCCGTCGGTTCCAGCACGGAAAAGCAATAGCAATTTCACAAGCATGGCTAAAAACTGAATGATGAAAGTAATTGCAGAAGCCTGGGAACAGGTTCTAAGCACTCGTACCGCCATATAATATCTGCTGCCAGGTTTAGAGAAACTGAAGGAAAATATAACTGCAAAAAGTTCCAGTACTCATCATGATGAGCATCCTGTATCAAGCCGCAAAAGTGTTTTCCCCTGTTGAGAAGGGGAGAATTTTCAGAACAAACCGGTACATCAGTAGGTTGTAGTTGCCCACGACAACAATCACTTCCCAGCAGAGTAAAACATGCTGGGGTACACCCAGAGGTTCTGTGGGTAACGAAACATATTTCTTGCGAACACAAGGTCCCGACTGGCGGATGGATCCTTCATAAGATCCGGCTCATTGCCCAACCATCGTACACCCCAAGGTTGAGAGTGGTGAGTGTAGTACAAGCAGTTGCTTCTCCCTCCCCACCGTTCTGGGTTAACACAGGAAAATGGTGGGGTCCTAATGTCAGCTGCAACGAAGAGTGCCCAATTGTCCAGCTTCTTCATCTCTACCCATTTTGCTGGATTGGTAGACATGTCAAGGCGGTGGAGTGTACAGAAGCCTGAACTATAGAATGAGCTTAATAGAGAATAGCAAACCATCAGAAGCATATCGCTACAGACCACAAGAAATGGTTTCGAATGCATGCTTGGGATCTTGCCGCCGCACCACTCTATTGGTAGTTCTTGCAGGCCAAGCTGGGGTGCCAACTGCAAAATGTAGATCTTCATATGATCATCCATGGCAATGAACTGACCATTTAATTCCACAATCTGCTGTACTTGCACATTGGAAAGCTTGAGTTCAGACCAAGAGTCACTTCCAACTGGCCAGTCAAATAGGGAGGATTTTGTGCTGACAAGGAGGCGTGAGCTGGGTGATGCAAGGGGAGCAGTCAGAGTGCTACAATAGTACGACTGAAAGAAATCGTGGTTCAACTCAGGGAGACATGGAGGTGAAACTTCTGCACCACTAAATGCATCAACAACAAGACAATGTATGTGCTGGAAGAGGATGAGCTGACCATAGGAAGAACCAGCAAAATAAAATTTGCTCTGCAGAATTTCTTCACGTATCTGGCAGCGATAGTTGGTGCTTGGGTTGGATGGATCAACAAAGATTAATCTATGTGGCTTGGCACGACCATTGCTAGCAGGTTGGATGCAGGGGTTTTGTCGGATGAGGAAAGGGGGGTTTGAGAAGCAGAAGGTAGATTTGGATGGGTATGAGAAGAAAGCGGCACGCCAAGGGCGGCAGGTGGCAGCAAAGGCAAGAAGGTCAACGGAGGAGCCCAAGATAGCAACAATTGAGTGTAGCAGGTCATCTGGGAGGTCTGCCCAGCCTTGGAGATTGGACACAGCAAGGTGTTTGGATATAGAGGTAACCAACAGTTCTCTGGGGCTGAGCATGATGACAAACTCTCTGCAAAACATAATAAATTCAAGGCCAGAAGATTAGAAATATGAGCTGGTGAAAATATGCAGAATAGAGGCAGATAGTTTGCTAAAACTACAGATAAACATATAGTGTTGCTCTTGTTCACATCTAAGCAATAACCATAACTAACCGCATACACTCTTGTATACCAAGGAACTTGTTCTACACATGTGCAAATATGGGCACAGGTTTCATTAGGGAAATTTACAGAACTACAATCATGCAGCAACATAAAGTAAAAACCACACAAAGCAGGAAGGAACCATGTTGGGCCATGGGAAAGTGCTAATCTTCAGAAACCATGTTCATCTCCAGGACTCCCCGCAAAACAAATGCACAAGTTCAGAACATGGGATGACTAGAAAGACGACATATGCTCCTCGTTTTGCCTAGTGGTGCACAAAAGATAAGCAGTTCTGGCTAGTGCTAATATAGATATACTTGAAAGAATTATTTATACCCAAGTCTCGTTTCCATTTGCACACAGTCTCGATCATCCAGATCAAAGATGGGTCTTATATGCCACCAATCCACACCATCTAATAAGAAATCAAACAGTTCCACCCGGCTGGGGTTTTCAATCGAAGTTTGTGCCATGTCTATATCGCAAACCAGAACCGAGCGAAATCTAACCCTATCCATCAACGCGAGCCTAATTCTTCAAACAAGAACAACCGCACGATGTGCTTCTTGTTAGGTCTGGATTTGGAGGCA